TGTTATAATTTGCTGCTAAGAATCTACATTAATAAAACAATAGTTTTTGTTATCAAAACTACTTTTTGCAGAGAGAATAATAAAAACTTTAGAAAAGGCAAATTTTATAATTTATATACAACATATTAAGTTAAATAGTTTTTGTATGCAAATATCTTTGTATTTAATATTTAAATCTTTTCAAATGTTCAATTGTTTGCGTAATTATACTATTAAAGTTTTTTCTTGTCAAATATTGCTTATGAATTATCTATCACTTACAAAAATATTATTTGTAAACGTGCCAAAAACCATATATTCCTATTTTTGAAACTGAGTTATTTGCATAGAAGACATAAATTAAATAAAACAAAAACTGGAACATTATCTCTATATTCTGGATTTTATAGTTTTGTTCTTTTGAGGAATCATCGACGGATATTAGCGGATGACATTACCTTCAGCGGAAGAAATAGATAAAAATTGACCAGACGAACGGTTTCTAATCGATGATAATTTCGATTATTTTTTTCTTTTACTCAATTTCTTTTTTTGTAGACTTAACGGAAAATCAAGAATCGCATGTGAACTTTCTTAGACGACACAGTTTCGAGAGAAAACAGAATAAGACGGAGTCTCTCTCCCACGGAACTTAATCTCTATCAATAAATACAAAGTTCCGATAACATATATATGCAAACTCATAACGAAAACCTTCATTGGTTCCAATCGATAGATATTGAAATATGCGTCTCACGTTGAAATATTTATCAGTATGCGCAAAAAAATTAAAAATTTCCGTAGTATATTGGGATTCCATATCTATCAGTAAAAGCTAACAGAAAGTTTCCGTTACAGCGAAACTCAGTATCTATTTGTAGGATTACACAAAGAGCAAAAAATTTCTATTGCGTGTCGGAACTTCAATATCCATTGATTAAGGCCAACAAAAGATTTCCGTTGTACCAGAATTTATTTATTATATGATAGAGATTAACAAAGTTTCCGTGGGAAATTCGTATTCCGTTTTCTCGTAAAATTGTGCCATAACAAGTTTCCAAGGTCCTTCCATTAACTTTATATAAAAATTTAAATAAATAAAAGTAAAGAAATTGACGTTATTGGAATCATCCGGCTCCCATCATCCCACTCCCGATTAGTAACCATTCGCTGGCTAAGCTTTTTATTCATCTCTTTCGCTGGAGATGGGTTTCGCCAACGGTTTCGCGAAAGAAAAGAATCGGGGAATCCTGAGGACTACAAAATATATACCTGCCTCGGATATCCGTACATTGACTTTCGAGTGATTGTTGCACCGCCTCGAGCACAAGACCGTGGTTTTATTTTGCTTCTTTTTTTTTATCTCTGAAAAATCAGAGTCCTTCCTCTCTACGACGGGGGAATGGAAACGGCCAGAATGGTCTCCAAGTCAAATCAGTGACGCGGGATTATGTCGCTATAATCGATATCGGGAATACAACAGGCGGATAATCGGGAAATCCGCTCTAACGATAATGCCAATGGCCGCATTCAAGCTTCGTTGACTATGAGCGTTTCGATACGGGGTTAACGGGACGTCGAAAGTCAAAATTACATGTATATGCACAGTCGGTGATGTGTTCGCAGTCCGTAACAACGTGTGTTAAACGATTACACGCCGTAGAAACAGATATTAATTAACAGGTGCGATCTCTCAGAGATGAGAACTAATTAAAGAAAAGTTTTCGTTTGCACTTTTACCTAAGATCGTGTAACGTAATTACTTTCCTTACGTACATTACTATCATTATGTAAATAACATCAAGATTCTTTCAGATTCTGCTTAAGCTTATAAATATTAATTAACTCGAATCTTGCAAAATCAATCACTACTGAAAAGCTTGTATCTCGAAAACTGCTTATATCACAAAAAATAATAATTCGTAATTTTTAAAATGTATCATTCTTCGTTAAAAACAAAACATTAATACTGTTGTAAAAGATTTAATAAATATCTAGATTTATAAAACTATCAGGTTTATTATAACAATTTTATGATTTGATCAATATTTCGCCCATTGTATTTTAATCTTCTATCTTTTATCTTGCAATAGATGGGGATTAATATAAACTCACCAAGAAAAAGAAATATATTCCGATTTTTTTCCGTTTAAGATATAGAAAGGCAAATGACTACAAGAACCGGAAATATTTTGCGTATCGCAAAACATTTATTTGAATTTTTTGACCTTGAATATTGCGCAAGGCCGTTGGCTGTGAGAACTGGTAGAGTTCGCTGAGTTGCGAATTTGCGCATTCACCGCTTTCGAGGATGTCTGCATTTATGGCAATTCGGGGTTATCAGATATGTTAAAATCTAATTTTACTCCGCCCAATTTAATTCCGTGTTAAACCTGTCCTGTCCAATAACACATTCGCCATGCGAGCGTGAAACGTTCACTCGAGACGCTGCTGATTCGCAGGTATAAACCTAATGCAAAATTAGATATATTCAAAATAAAAAATTAGAATAATAATTGCCATAATTGTCATAAAAAATGTAAAATATTTTACTTATATAAGAATTTCAGTATCTTGAAATTTAGATAATTATTATCCTCGCTGTACCGTATTATAGTGACACGTGTAAGTTATAAACAAAGATTTTCTCTATCTTTCAAATTACTGAACGTTTTAATACTGTAATAAAAAAAAAAATAAATTTCAAGTTAACAAGTTTCTTTATAAACCTGTTTAAGAGTTAAAATAACTCAACGAATTAAAAGCATGCGTGCTAATTAGATGACTAAACAGGATGTTAATCAATGGAAAAGTAGTGTTAAATTTCCGAGCAAATGTCTCAGGACGATAAATACGTATGAGTAAGTGGGGAATTAAATATAATATAAAAATGCTAGTGGGAGATCGGTATTGCGTGCGATCAGATGGGGAATCTCCCACGTGGAATCGGCAAATGTTACCGGTTTGCCGCTAACACTACTGAATCATGAAAAAAATCGTGACACATCGATTCATCATGCGCGTTGAATGACGTTCGATTGTACGAACTTACGGGAACAGAATCGGCAAGGACGGATCTTGTGAAATATATATTTTCAGCGTTGGTTTACAGCCGAATTACTTTGACCAATGGCGTAACACGTCAATATTAAAAATTTTTGCAACCAATAAGCCACGAGGCGATCGATTAGGACTTCGATTACGATTTTTATTTTCTTAAGTAATTACGCCGAGACTGTTTTTCTCTTAGAAAAGTACGCTTATGCGGAAAAGCGCAAGTTTAATAAATACGCATTCGCTCGATGTTCTGCTGCGCTTCGTCGTTTAATCGATCCAAATTGCATAATAAGTGCTATCGGAAAGTTACGATCGTTTCTTGCGAGATTGCAGAACGCGATTTTCTTACTCTTCGCAAAACATTGCGTTGATCGCCAAAGATATTACGTATAATAGATATTACGTATATCAGACTGAGCAACAAGTGGTCCAGAAACATATTAAATATAATACAAATAGTAACTGGAGCTTGATATATATACATGGCGAGGTGAAAAAATACTCAAACTGGTTGTGTAAAAACAAACATTATTAGATATTGAAATAAACACTTAATCTCTCTCAAGGTAATTTCTTTCTGCAACTACACACTTATATCACCGGTTCTGCCATTGCTGATAATATTTTTTAAATTAATTTTTTGTGTTTTAGATGCTTCGTTTTGATCACATTAATCTTGTTGCCTTTTTTTCTTTTCAGTGACAAGTTTAATAGAGAGAAGTCATGGTCAGGTGAGCCATGTTAAGTGAGAATACTAATTACAGGGATGCTGTATTTTACCAAGAAAAAACTGCATTGACAATGAGCTGTCTGAGAGTTTCAAGTCTCTTTGTGTTGCATGAAGGGGGATTTCAGATAATGTTTTCATAAAAAAAGTATAAGCAGAATTATAATATCAGTCCAGGTATTTCTTTATTGCACCGTGTGTATCATGTGAGCGACAAATGTCACACAATTTGTTTTTAATGATTATTTGATTTTGTTACACACGTCATATATATATATACGATTTCAATAAAAACAAACATTAATTAGAAATTTTAATGAAGAGGATAAAATTTGATTTTTCTCCATCGATCCTCTATTTACTCGTTGTACATTACTTATAAATGTTTTCTTATGTGATTTATTTAAAGTAAAGCAATGATGATATACAATTCAGCACACATCGCAATGTGCAACGTAATAATATATAAATATATGTCTATATATACAATATACAATTAATAGCGAAAATGAGGAAGTTTAAAGCAAATGCAATTCGTACAAGAGAGTGAAAATATTATGGTAACCGAATGAATAAAATTAGAAAACAAATCAAATTTTAAATTAAACTTACTGCCGTTCACTTCAATTTACATTCGTAATTCGTCGAGGAATAGTTTACGTTCAATCGCATTGCATTGCACTTTCTCCAAGATTCGGGTTTTCAAGATTTCTATTCGCCCGCCGTAATCGCGATTATTTCGTACGCCTTCTGTTCTTTAATTTATAGCTCTCATTAAAAGCACTCTCCTCGTTGCCGTATTTATACTTTCAACGAATAATATATTGTATAGCGTATAATTATAAACAGGTCTCCGAGTACGGGGTGCTTGATTTTATCACCCGTAAAGTTCCACACGGGGTGCTGGATAGGATTCATTTAGGATTCCGAGAAACAATCGCGACCACAAAAAAAAGGCAACCGGTCTTGCATCTCGAAATGGAACCGTCTTTTGAACTGCCGGGTGACCTTCAGATCTCGCCTCCCTCCGAGTCAAGCAGAACGGAGATCCCCCGAGATCCTAACGCGCTTAGCAGACATTACAAGCTCCTCGCGGTGGGATTACAACCTCGTGACCCGATTGGACAGTATTCCACGTGCTCGCCGGTCGCCACCACCGCGACAAGCCCAGCCACAAATGTAGTGGGAGCGCGATATTTTTCAAATCTACCGAGATCCGTACCGCCACTTCTGCACCGAGACGTATGCCGCACGCACCGCACACCGTCACGGGGGAGCGAGGTGACACACACGACAGGTGGTGAAGGTGGACAAAAGCCGGACGAATCTCGAGCGATCGGCCGAGTGGTACGCGATTCTCTCAAGCTGACAAATCCGAGAGAAAATAATTCGGCGGAACTAATCTCGAATATTAATCTCGAGGCATCGCGTTGCCCTTGAAAGGTCGTACACTTTCCGCGGATCTCCCTCAGTCCGGGAGAAGCTTCTCGAAGGCTTTCGCGTCGGATCTTCCGCAAGGACGCGTTGGAGAACATCAACCGAGCGTCGAACCGCGCGGGAGAAAGTGAAGAATCTCCGGACTGAACGTTCGGGCCGACAAAGTCGAGAGTGTTGAAATCGCGCGTTATAATCACCAGGCATCTCTCGACGCGGGCATTACATCGGTTATTACAAGCCGCGGGCCGATTAATTCTGCAATCTGTCATCAAGCCGCGCATCAGAAGTGGAGATCTATCCTTATCGTCGGTCGGCCGGCCCGCCATTATCATTGAACCGCCGACGATTGGTCATCGCAAGTCGACAAAGTTGAACGCACCCCCCATCGTGATACCGTCTATCGTTCGGCAATAGAATAAAATAAGCTGTTACCTGAAAGTGTAAGGAACTGGAAAATGAAGGATCTTATGGTGATCTGGAATACCCTGTCGCATCGTCAGATTTACTCGTCGGTGAACATCAACCCTAATGGTGACAAGGTCGAGCAGGACGAGGCGAAAACGAATGGACGTGTCTCGAATATTCAGAGAAAATCTTCGGTGATGGTAAACAAATTTTTCAATACCGCTCTACCAGTGCATTCCGATGGCAGACGAAGATGGTCAAAAAGTAAGTAACAGGAAATCTCGTTTCAGGGTCGAATAGCAGAGACATTATTTTATTCGTCGTGTGTCCGATAGATTCGAGTCTATGTAAATGTCATGTAAATGCAAAGGTAAAAGTATGGTTTTTAATGTACGAAGAAAGAATATTGAGAACTGAGATTCTAAATTTTAATAATGTGATCCTCGCAACAGTTGTTATTTTAGCAAAGCAAAGTTTATTTTAATTCTCCGTATATACACAAATGTTAATCCGTGAGAAAAGATATCCCGCAATTCTTTTGTTATTGCTTTATCTGTTTAAATTATTTTATTGCATACTGAATTGTAACTAGAAAATACCTCTTTAATAAACATGTGAGAATTATTTTTACATAAGATGAGCTAACGTAAGTAAACATTTTAAATAAAGAAAAGGTGGCCGTTTATTTCTACGATTCAGCAAGTTTTAACAATCGACTTAATTTCAAATCGAGCGATGCAAAATAAAGAAAAAAGATCTTACAGAGAAAACAAGAGATCAGCTATCTAAAGTAGTAATAAATGCATGATAACTTACCGTAACTAAATGTTACCAGAGGTAACATATAAAAAAAATGCAAAGGAGTGTACAGAAAACACGCAACGTGCGTTTCACTCTATTTCCAATTCTTTCTATGAAATTCTCTTAGAAGAATTAGCACATCGCGTGCAATCATTCATAAGCTAGAGAAGAGTCAACCTTTGTTATTTATTCTAAAATATTTAGCTTTTGTTATTGCGATTTTGTGTAAATATTATACATTTCAAATAAAAAATTATTTTCGCAAATAGTTAAATTATTATCTGCATTACACAGAAGAGATATCAATAAATTAGATTTAATCGGTCGTTATTTTAAATATTTTTAAATATTTATGATTCTGGTTTTTAAATTTATATTCTTTTTTAAATTTACATTCCGAAATTGGATATACAAAGAAACGTTTAAAAAATGCAACATGTATCCACTAAGGAAAAAAGGATTTCGTATAAAACGCTTGTTTACCATTATCTCGAAACTGATTCAAAAGATTTCCGAGGAAGAATGCGCGCATATCTTTTACGATGCAAATGTTCTCGTATATATGTATCGGGGGGAGAGATTATTTTCGATTTCTCGCTAAAAAAAAAAATCATTTCGATGCGATAGAACTTTAGTCTCGAGTCGCTCGAGATGTACATAATTATGGCGAGGAAACCGGTCCTGTAATACTATATGATACAATTTACGAAAAATGAACAGAAAATAAGCACTGAATCGAAAATTACAACTGCGATCCATTTCGATTAGGTTGTTCCATTTAGTTTTGCGCAAGATATTGACTTTCCCCGGATTGCAACATTGAAAATTTCCGAGGAAAAATTTTTGCACGTGGGAACATATGCCCGCGTAATTGTTAATCGCAAAGTGTTCTTGTATTACTGGTTAAATTCACGATATATAATTTGCTGCGGAAATAATAGGTCTATCCCGATGAAAGAAGAAAATGATTAGACGGATAATCTCTTACGGTATTCTCTTTCACAATTCTCTCCATACTTCAAAACCATATTTTTATCTTTGCATTCGAACATACCGAGGTAAGAATTTTCCTGAGTAAAATCCAAATGAAATAGACACGCACCTTTTATGTGCAATATTTTTCATATTAAAATAAAAAAGCTTATGAGAAAGAAATTTTTTTACATTAAAAATGGTGACTGTGTAAAATGTATTTTTCATATTAGACTACAATAAAAATGCGTATAAAGTGAAATTTTTTTACATTAAAAAACATGACTATGCAAGAATTGCAGGATATCTTTTCAGTGTGTAAAGAAAGGATAAAATGTTTTCTAAAAATAGTTTTCTACGAAAAACAAAATCTGAAAACAATGATTGAACATGATTGAAAACTAATATGCACATAAATGACGAGGTGTAAATTGACAAAATAAGAAAAAGATTTGAAAAAAATTACTATAACAGCGAGCATAAATACATTCGATATTACTTATCTTCTTTATAAAACTTTGATTATTAATAATAACAGTGGCTTGCGATTGAATTTGTAATTTATGTCGTAGCGTTGAAGAGCAGATTTATTATGATTTTCTGATACTTAATTTTTTCGTAGACACGATAATAATACGGAGTTCATCAATTAGATTGACAAAATTTATATCGGGGAATTATGATTACTTTGTTAACTACTACGCGTTTTTGCGTCATTGCAATTCTTGAAAATCATTAAAAGTAATTATTTTTGACGCCACATGGAGTGTAATTAGCCCTTATTATTAACTTATATAAAATATAATTTTGCGCTATCTATTCTTCTATAATTTTGTAAATTTGCTTCCTTGCCAATAATTTTTCTAGTTTTTTTGCTTTTTAACAATGCATATAAATTACTGTAATTTTCTGCACAATTAATTTTTTGCAAAATTAATTGCACAATTAATTTTTTGTATGCAATGTAGTACAAAAGCGTAAAGTATCAAGCGATTTTATATATATCGCTTGATACTTTACGCTTTTATTACTACATAATTCATATAATTATTATTATATATATATATATATATATATATATATACTTTTACATTATACTTTACACGATTATTAATATATTTTAGCTGTTAATTGCAGTTAAAAATGATAGATAATCCTTTTTTATTAATTTTTTTAATTTCCTTTTTATATTCTTTTTTCACTTAATTAATGAACATATTGAGATAGCATTAATGGAAAATGTTTTCTTATTGATTTTATTAGTAATAATAAAACAAATTGACAATAGGAAAAGAAATAGTGCACGAAAAAAGTGCTGATTGATAAACGGGTTAATAGGTTCAAGTCTACTTATGTCGAGCATACAGCACGAAAGGAAAATCACTTAAACATTACCGCATATGTGAATCATTTACTCGCATATTCGTGCGTGAAAGAAGCCGGTCAAAAACGTGCTGCATACACGTGACACACTCTTTTACTCCCATTCAATCGAGTAAAAGTCGCCGACTGGGCTAAAATATGCGGACTATATGACAACTGTGTCAAATAAAAGAACCATAAACGCGATGCTTGTAAGTCAACGACCAACGAGTATTAAAAAAAAAGAAAGCATGTTAAGATAGATAATGGTAAACGTGGAAGTTTCGATCATTAGCCTTACAAATTGATAAGTACCTTATTAACTGATATAAGTATTGATATAAGTGCATTATCAGAACTCTGAAATCGTTGTCAAAATGTCATAAAACATTTCCGCGCGAGTACGAATTTATTTTGCACTGACGACGCACGTTGTCTGAATGAGACAAGAATATTCAACAAATGGCTCCGCGAAATAAAATATGTATTGTACGATTCATGCATTTTAGCGATCGTATTATTTCGAAATTTGACAGCCAGATGTTATTTTATTGTACACAAAATTGTTGTATGAGAAACAAAAAATTATTCGGAAGCAGAAATGTTAATCATTAAATCAGAATGATAGTCTCACTGAAAAATGTATGATCTTTCTTCAAAAAAATTGCGCGTGTTATATTCCCTTTGGTTCGAGACACGTGGCCATAATCAAATTTACATCGTATTAAAATAAAGAGAAATATCATCTAGCGTACCTCAAAATTGCGTTACAAGAATTTTTCGTCTAGGAACGGGATCCGAATTTGCATTTTAGATTTGCATTTGTATCTTGATCGTTTAACCATTTGATCTTTACAGAAACGTGACGTTTTATATCTCGGTGGCAATACGACGGTTTATTGTGCGCTGTCAGAAATGTAAATAGGGGAGGCGTCATTCGCGGACGTTCGTAGACATTGCGATTCGCAAAAGTAGACGTGCCGAAATAAAACCGTCCATACGTGGTATCCTGTGTCATCATCGTACTCAGATCACGTTGTGGTTCGTAACGTAGGTAGCCGCCGATTGTTATTGGCCGCGCGCAGTGAAGAATGTATCATAGTCGCACCTGAGGAAGTTTTGCTTCGTGCAATCTGCTTTAACGGAACACGACGAGTGTCATGAATGGACCGGACAGTTAGCTGTCAAGTTACAAACGCGATGCATCTCCTTCAGCAAGTGCTTTCTCATCCTGCACAATACAACTCCACCATTGACCTAAAACGACGCAGCCGTCCATCCGGATGATAGCTCGCACTTATCTTCCTAATTATCATTTTTATAGGCTTACATATACATACAAAATGTTTAAGCGACACGTGACGTTTCTATCAGATGGTACACCGGATAGTAAAATAGAAATTCTCTATGAATATCAATGTACGACATACAATACCTCATCCTTCCTCATCGAAAAAGTTACAAAC